GGCTCTGAATGAGAGTACCAGAGATGGGGTGTGGGAAACTCACAAAGGAAAGTTTCCACCCTGTGTAGGGTCTTTGTGCCCAGGAAAGGAAGGCACAGCAAGGACCCTAATTCCCAAACAAGAGCTATACTTGGTTAAGTTGGCATGAAGAGGACTAGGCGGTATCCAGGGCTGCCTTGTCTCCGGGGATGTGGATGAGTGAGCCAGTCAGGTGTCTCCGGGATTCAAAAGTCTGGGAATGATGAGCAGATTGTTAACTCTGCTATTCTCTTCTTTTTGTCTATTCTCAGGCAAAAGCAGTAGACAACAAATTAAAACACAGAATGCCAGTAGCCTCGGTTAGATGGAGGGGGACGAGAGTCTGGGTACCCAGGCAATGTTATTAGCTTTCAGATAGATGTTCACTGACCAAGGAAGAATGAATCTTGGCAACAGAGGCAAAGCAGGTGGAGTTAGGAATGGGCCTGAGAAATGTGTAGAGCTATGCAAGAGCCCCCAAGGACCTTCATCAAAGGTGCAGCATAGGCTTGAAAGAAAACCCAAGGATAAGGCTATGGAGCACAGTGGTTCTTCAAAAGACAAGTTGAATCCAGTCCAGCTTCCAAAAGAACTTTTCCCCCAGAGCTCATCACATGGCTTTTAAAGTCCATATGCTCGTAAAGTTCTTGGAAATGAGCACGGAAGAGTAATTTGGAGAATGCTGGGAAACTCAGAGTGGGAACTGACTCTCAAGGGCTGCTGCGAATGGAGGCCTGGCACCCAGCCGTTGACGGCAGCAGCTGTGCAGCAGGGGTGCTCCTGTGCTTCTCAGACACCATCCTTACGTATGTCCCAGGTGGAGCCCTGGTGGGGAGCAGAGTGTCTTCCCCAGTGCCCAGCTATAAATCCATGTTAGTCAGTCCCCGTGTGTTGGTGAAGAAATGCCTGAGTCCATTTTATTTTAGCTGTTAACACGACTTTATTAAAAATCCCAGTTTGGGAAGCTGCTCTGGCTCTTAGATGTTTAGTTGCCTGGCAGTAGTGTGAGTGCCATGGGTTGGTAGTGCCTCGGAGTTAGTTTACAGACTGGGGCTTACTCAGTAGGCCTTACACTTAGTAACTGCTCCTCAAGGCTATCTGGAAGATGTTTCTGGCATTTGCTTGTATGAAATATACTCCCTGTTCACCCAGACCAAGTGAGCAGCAGGTACCCAACCCAGCACACACACTATCCACAAGGATTCCAGAGAGGCCAGACGCAGGATGCAGGGGCTGCTTGTGGTTCACTGGGTGTGGCTGCTCCAGAACTCTGGAATGTGGGGGTGGTCAGGAGAGGTACCGCTTTCAGGCGGTACATCATCTTTCATTGAACCACATGGGGCTCCTGATGTGTGGCTAGTTGTGGTGTGAGCCACAGCAGGACCCAAGTGAGGGAGGTGAGGATGCTGGTGTCTTGTGAGGGGTTGTTCAACTGCTGGCCTGGTGTGTCATTCAGCTCAGAAGCTGCAATGGGGACGAGTCTGGAAAGGTTGGTGTGGCTTGAGCTGGTACAGAGCAGCAGGAAGCATAGTAGGGCTGTATGTTGTGAGCTCCCGGGAACACAAGCAGCTATAGTAGGCATCCCTCTTCCCGGAGGGAGCTGAACTGGACTGCATCCCCTCAAAGATGACTACAGCATTCCAGATGGCACCTGTGTGCACATCCGAGCACTATGCCAGCCTCGTCCTGATCTTGTACCAGTTTGAGTCTTTGAGTAGAGATCCCAAACATCCCAGAGTCCCACTAGAGCCCCCAGTTTGATGTCTGTTTCTACTCTGCCCAGCTAAAATGGAGGTGTCTGTAGCTAGGCCTAGTGCCAGCCATGACCATAGCTGCACACTGTACTATGCTATGGTTTGTGGGACACTTCGCAGCCTGAGAGGTGTAGTTTACGTGCAGGGCCTAGCATGAGTGAGGGTACCACATCTTCAGGGCCAGCATGTGGCTTGATGGCATATGGTTCCCAGATCCATTTTGTGCAGCCTGGGATAACACATCAGTGGTGGTGGCAGGGTCAGATGAGTGAGATCTGGAAGCCCAGAAGCTGTTTGGATGAGGCAACAAAGAAACCCAGTCTATTGAGAGATTCTGAATAATGGTTGACCTGTCTCCAGGGCATAGGTCAGCACCCTGCAGTTTGGTGGTAGTGAGATCCAGCCTGGAGGGCTGGTCAGCAAGTTTTGCATTAGGGGTTGTTGTTGGTTTTTGTTTTTGTTTTTGTTTTGAGAGAGAGGGGGGGGGAGAGAGCTAAAGAGAATATACAGCAGATACTATATGTAGCTTTAAAAGAAAGCTGGACACACTTGGGCTGGAGTTGATTCAGATGTGATCAACAAGGGCTCAGGCACTTAAATTTAATTTTTTTTTTTTTAAGTTTGTGTCAGTGCATATGTGTTCACCATGTGAGTAGAAATCAGGACAGCTTGAAAAGTTATTTTTCTCCTAACACCTTATGGGTCCCAAGGATGTTAGGTTGTACCCAGCCATCTTGCTGGCCCAGGCTCAAGCATCTTATATAGATAGAAACCAGCATTACTCAGCCTCAGGACTGATGGCTGGGTGCTACAGAATGCTACAGGGTGCTGGGAATGTCCCTGGCCAGTAGCTGTTACCCCTGTTACATTGTGACTAGAATGGACTGACTAGGCAGATTTGCACACTCTGTGTTGGAGGTTTATTTTTGTCTCGTTTTACTTTTCATTTTGGCTTTTTGAGGCAAGGTCTTACTAGCCCAAGCTTGCTATGTAACCAAGGACAACCTTGAACTCTATACTTCCTGCCTCCACCCTCCAAGTCTGATAATACAGGCAGGTACCACCACGCCTGGTTTTACGGGGTTACTGCCTCATCTCTGCTTATGCTGTAGTGACTCTGGAGTCAAGACTTAGCTCTGTATTTCAGGCATACAGGTCTCTGAGTAGTATAGTTCAGAAGAGGGTCAAAGGCCACCACGCTGAGCTGAAGGGCTTGGTGTTTGTAATTATGCTATTCCGACTGCTGGCAAAACAATTGCCCTTGTCCTGTCCAACACCCAGCTGATCTGTTTCAGCTTCACAGCTGCATTGATACACATCTCCAGAGTGTCCCTGTCAGAAATGGGCCAAGAAGTTAAACCATGGGTCCTGTTTTGACAAGACTGGCAGCTTTACATGAAGAAAGATCACGTTTTCTCTTGACAGTGACTGGGCAAAGATGGAGTGTGGGTGTAGCAGAGCTGAGGGTGGGTTCATTTCCCCACTGCTTAGAACATGTGGCTCCTGATGACATTTTGGAAGGAGGAGAATACACAGTTTGTTGTTTCATTTGTAATTATGTGTATTAGGTGTTTATAAAAGGTATGTGCACACAAGTGCCAGTATCCTCAGAGATAAGACGTGTTGAATCCCCTGGAGTTCCAGGTATTTGTAAGCTGTCTAACATGGGTGCTGGGAACTGAACTTGGGTCCTTTGAAAGAGCAGGAAGGGCTCTTAACCACTAAGCTGTCTCTCCCATCTCTCATCCCTTGACCAAGGTTTATATGGAAGAGTGATAGGTAAATAATAGATTTCAGGTAAGGGCTACAGTGTGGAGTTGCAGTAAAGCTGGGAACAGAGAGGCTAGTGTGTAGCTAAGACTGTTGAATCTCTGATGGGGGGAGGGGATTAGGGTAGGTTGGGCCTGAAGGGGTGGTTTATAGCTGCAGCCAAAGATCAGAGTGTGTGTGGGGGGGGGTAGTTGGGAAGAGCTGAAAGCCAGTACCCTGGGAAACCTTCCAGTTGGGCTGTCCTGACCCTGCCCTAGGGGACTGCTGAGAGAGGGACCAAGTGGTGCTCACCATAGAAGGGGAGGAAGGGCTAGTTAGGACTCATCTATTTGTTTGTCTCACTGTGTAGCACTGGCTGTTCTCGAACTCACCTGCCTCTGCCTCCTGCGTGCTGCTGGAATTAAAGGTATGCACCACTGTGCCTGGTTTAGGACTCATCTTTAGTAAGTGGATATTGCTAGAGATATTTTATCCAAAGCAATCACTGAGAAATTTTTGGTAAGTTTTCATTCAGCCCATAGACCCAACTTCATGTCCAATGGGAATGCTGTGCTGCATGATTCAGGAAACCTTTTTGTAGCCGTTCAGATAGAACCTAGTATCTGGAGGCCTCTACCTCCCAGAGGTCGGGGTTTGGTGCACCCCTACCGCTGTTGTTGGGGTATGGCATGTGTGCATGCACATGTTTGTTGGAGTCAAGCTCTTACAGTATAGTTCAGGGTGGCCTCGAACTCAAGATCCTTCTACCTCTGCCTCCCTGCCACCCATGTGCCACGACACCGATGTGGGTGGGAACCTTTCTAAAGGGACATGTCCAGTTATCTCTAAGAATCAGTGTTTTGCTGCGGTGCGTAAAGACGAGTCACAAGCTGGTCACAGACAGTGGAATGGAGCAGATTTGAAGACTAGACTATTAATGTTGCAAAGCCCCTGGTAATGCCACACATAGGCAAGGTGTCTCAGAAGTGCTTGATGTCACAGGGGGCCTCTTTTAACTTTCATCACTGTTTTGCAGTGTTGAAGGACTACTTCCCAAGCTGCTGCTGAGGACCCAGCCTAAGGATAGATTTTGAACTTACTTATTAGGCAGTGGGACGGGTGTCCCTGTCTGTCTAGCCTGCCTCCTCCACCTTTCATTGCACACAGATCCTCTGTAGTTCTGTCAACTGCTCTCCCCAGCTTCCCTCTCCCGTCTTTCTGCCCTCTTTTCATGATGCTAGAGGGCCAGAAAGGATGCCGCTGATGACACCAGCAACAGGAAAACCTGACACCAGTGATGGCCTTAGTTTTGGCTTTGAGAGTAGTAAGCTCCCCCCCCCCCATTCTCTTCTGTTTCCACTTTCTTCAGCTGCCCCAGGTATATATAATTCTCATGAGCTCATGTTGCGTGTTGCCATTGGTGGCAGGTGTGGACAAAGAGGCCACCCCTGACTTGAGCGTGCTTTTGCTCTCTTGCAGATCTTCTAGCCGCTCGATGGGGAGTCACAGAAGATCGCCTGTGTGTGTCAGCTCCCCACCTCTCTGTAGCAAGAGAAGTGACCACAGCGCCTCCACAGTCATGATGATGAAACTGGTATTAACTGAGTGGTCCTTATGGATTTTTAACTCTAACTCACAGTGAGCCAGCAAGCCATATGTTTACAGTCCAACCAAAAACCCTTCTGTGTTGCTGCACGTCTCGTGTGAGAAGTTGAGACGCCTGTTGGTTCAGAGCGGAATACAAGAGTTACTTGTCGGAATGCACTTGCAGCAGAACGAGAAGACGTCTTAATTTATCGTTGGAGAGAGATGATAGTATTATTTATATAGGTAGAATAAATATATACACATATATATTTTGGTGGTAATGAAAATGGCTCCGCAGAATGCCGACTCGGAATCTATGCAAGTACAAGAGCTGCCCGTGCCCCTGCCGGACCCTCAGAAACCCAGAGACCCAGAGGCCGAGACCCAAGAGGAGACCATCAGTGAGGGGTCCATAGACAGAATACCCACACGCCTATGGGTGATGCACGGGGCAGTGATGTTTGGCAGGGAGTTCTGTTATGCCATGGAGACAGCACTGGTCACACCCATACTGTTACAGATAGGTAAGTACAGTGCTGTAGGCCTGGCTGCTGCCGGTGGTGGACTGAAGGTCCCGAGGGGCCTGCCATGGGTTCTTGACCTCTGTGACAGTTTCCTCCCATTAACCTGGTTTAGGGGCTTGTCCCTCTGGTCTGGACATTGCTTTGCAGGTCCTGAGAAAAACTGGGCTTGGCTGTGTTGGGCACATTGACTGTGGAAGTCACTGGCTGTACTACCGTGGCAAATAAGGGGTCTGCTTGTCACTCTCTAGTTTCTTGCCTACGGAATGGCAGTGAGTGCAGTCCCACCCCAAACGTAATGGCAACCCTCCCAGGTTGCCACTAGAGTGGGTTTGTCCCCGAAGTTTCGTCAGAATCTTTAGTTTTCTCTATAGACTCAGGACGTTTGTTTCTTCAACTCTGAAGTTTCATAAGAGAATTATACAAAAGTCCAAGCAATCTAGAGGCATCAGTTTTGTTCTACATTTTCATGTATGTAATCAGGATTTATTTTAAATTCCTGTCTGCTTTGGTTGTTTTAGCAGTATTTCTTGCCACAACATAACCATATCCTTACATGGAGAGAGCTAACCCTGCTGTGCTGGGATCGGCTCAACATGTAGGTTTGCCATCCCTGTGAAATCAGTCATCGCCACTTCTTCCATTGCAGGCTTCCTGACACGGGCAGTACGTATGCTCTCACACACGCCTGCTCTGTGGCCCTTTAGTAAAGGCACTGGGGTAGGTGTCCTTCTGAGCTCCCACCATGGATGTTGTTGGGAATCAGACCTTAATCTCTTCTGTTCACTTCCAAAGCCAGCTCTCAGAAGGTATAGGCGGTGTGTGTGTGTGTGTGTGTGTGTGTGTGTGTGTGTGTGTGTGTCCGTGCGTGTGTCCGTGCGTGTGCCCGTCCCCATCCGTCCGTCCGTCCTGGAGGGCTAGCAGACATTGAGCTTGCTCTACCATTGTGCTGCTTTTCGTCCCTTGGGGTCCTGTCTTGAGAAGTCACAGGGGCAGGCAGGCCATGCTCACAAGATAACTAGAGAGAGAGAGAGAAGTTGGGAAGGAGGCATCAGGTCTTGTAGCAGGTCTGGAGCCAGCATGGCTGGCTGCTTATGTTGTGGCAACAGAGATGTGATCTCTCTCCCCAAGCTGCTAAGACCCAGGGTCCACCCTGCCTGGAATCCTCACACTGCATGGGTTGTACTGTTTCCATGTGACCTTTAGCACTTTTTTATTTTTTGATTTTGATTATTTATTATGTGAGGTTTATTGTGTGTTAACATGTTTTAACTTATTGTTTTACCATACATACCTCCCAAGTAGCTAGGATTATGGGCCCGAACTCAATGACAACATCTTACTAGAGATCTCTGTAGCTTCTTGGAGAGATCTTCATGATAAGGAAGGCTCTAACCAAAAGCCAGCAAGGCCCAAGGTTACAAGGAGATTGGGAGAAACTAAATCTTATCAGTGCTTGGTGACCAAACTTTCCCTCGCTGAGATTTGCAATGTCCCCAGCCTAATCAAAACCTGGAATGCAGCTGCCGAGAGACCTTGAGCCAGACTACTGTGCCGGGCTGAGCATTGGGTCCCTGACCCAGAGAAATTGACTGTGAGATGACAAATGGTATAAGCTACTCACTCCATCATGTGTGCCTTGTCACATGGCAGCATATAGTAGCTGATGTATGGGCTCTGGGTGTTGTTTGAAGCTTTATGATGATACTGTTTCTCAACCCTTTGATATAGAACGTAGTATTTCCCCCATTGCCTATGTATAGTCCATCTTTCCAAAAGAGGATATCAAATTGCTTTAAATTGTTTTCAGTTACATTGATTGATTGGAGGTTGTGAGTTTGCACTTGTTGGGAGAATAGCTTTGAGGAATCAGGTCTCTTCCACTGTGTGAAGCCTGGGAATTGAACTCAGGTTATCAGGCTTGGCAGCAATTGCCTTTACCTACCAAACCATCTCAGTGGCCCTCAAAGTGATTTCAAAGTAAAGATGTTTTTATTGACAAAAATACCCCTCCATAAAAACTGTCTGTAGTTTGTGGTAGGAAGTCTGTCCTTTATTTTTTCAAGTGTTCAACTTCCTATAGAAAGCTTCCTGACTGGAAGGCAGCAAGCAGAAGCCTGTGAGTGCTAGCTCAGATTCTGCCCCTAGAAGCCAGTGGTCCAGGAGTAGCTAGTTAAGTGGGCATAGGCAGGGTTGACCTTTGGCGGTTCCCAAAGGCAGTGCCCTTGTATTGTCCTGTAAGTATACTCCTTTCAGTTGATGGGTTGTCTTTGTTGTTAAGATGTTGCTGGTAAAGCTGATGATTGAGGCCACATGTAGGGTGCAGAAAGGCTGTTAAATGTCCCGTGGAGAGGAAGTTGGTTCTGTTTGCAGCTTTCCAACTTCTTTATGGCTGTCACCAGCCATGTGGCAGTCTGCCCTCCCTAGTTGAACTGATGCACCAACAAGTCCTACGATCTATGTTCCCTGTGCCTTTTACCCCACGACAACTCCTTGTACTGTTGACACGGGACCGGAGGACCCTCGAGCAGTCTATCTAGTATGGAGAGGCCAGTGTCCTCTGCCCTTGATACCAGCAATGTCTGATCATTCTGAGCCTGACCACATTGGTCAATGTTTTCCCCATGTTGGCCCTAAGGGAAGGGTAGGAATAGGGGAGGCGTCAGAAGCTTGGGTTGAACAGAAGAAGGTGGTATGGCTGGCTGGCCACCCTTCCACCTGTGATAAATCAGTGCTTTCCTTTGTGGTAGGTGGCATAGGTGGGTTCTGTGCCTGAATGGTGGTGGTATTGGAAGGCACCGTGTCCCACAGCCAAATCTGACTTCTTGGAGAAGCCTTGGCTCTCCCTCATTCAGTGCTTGATGGTTTACTTTGGTACTGACATCTCTTTTGAAAACAGCCCCTGAGTTTACATGTCTGAAATGCTTCTGAGTCTGGCACATTGTGAGACCCAAGCACAGCTGCTCCTGCACCTGGGCTCCCACAGAGGTTGGGCACCTTTGCTTTGCACAGCTGTCAGAAAAGTGAAACCCTAGAGCAGAGCATCTGTAAGTCTCCTCCCTGTAGAATGAGTAAGGGCAAGGGCTGTTAACTGAGCTCACCAGACTCCAGGGTCATGTTCTCAGAGTCAGCATCACCATGCTACACAGCTTGAGACATGACAGGCCTCTTTCATGAGATCCCAGCCCGTGTCCTCAGCGCCCCCCCCCCCCCATGCAGGAATGTTCAGAGTGCTTCAGTCTTCCCACTCTTGATATTAAAACCTTTTATTTGGGGGAGGGGGGTCTAAGATAGGATTTCTCTGTGTAGCTGTAGCTGTCCTAGAACTCACTCTGTAGACCAGGCTGGCCTCAAACTCACAGAGATCCGTCTGCTGGGATTAAAGGTGTGCGCCACCAAACACCCAGCTGATAATTAGAATTTTTTTAGTCTGGGACAAGCTTTCTTTGTGTACATGTACATCTATCGATCGGTTCTCCCTGCGAGGCATCCCAAGTGCTGGGATTGCAGCTGTGTGCACCACACCTGCTTCTTTGTATATATGTGAGATTAGGGATTGAGCCCAGGGCCTGCTGCATGTTTGACATCCTTGGCTCAGTTTTCACTTTTGGTTATATTTTTTGAGACAGTATCTCTCTGTGTATCCCTGGCTGTCCTGGAACTTGCTGTGTAGATCAGGCTGGTTCACAATTCACAGATTTCTTGCCTGCCTCTACTTACTGGGATTAAAGGTGTGTGCCACCAAATCTGGCTAGTCATTAGTTTTTCTTTTGCTTCCTTGCTTGTCTGCTTGTTTTGAGACGGGGCCTCAGTCTCCCAGGCTGCCCTGGACCTCCCTCTATACCCCAGGCAGGCCTTTAATTTGTGATCTTTCTGCTTCTGGCTCCAAGTAACGGGGATTACAAGCCAGGCTACCAGACATGTTGCACCTCAGCCCTTTCCTGTCCGTTTACCTACACAGCCTGAGCTCCCTGAACGCCACTGCCTCCTGTAGTGTTGTCCTCCACGGTCAGTGGGGAAGTTCTGTCTCTGATTGGCCCTCAGATTGGGACTAGGATCCAGGATTTACTTGGAATTCCACCTTTTTGAAGGAGCCCTAGGATGGAGGTACCAGTTTGATGATGTTGGGGTGCTTTTGGTGAGTCACAGAGTCTGGGAAGGAGAAGCCCTTGATGGGCAGGAGGTGACTGGTATGCTATGATGGGCAAAAATGGGGCTGGAGTGACAGGGACTGGACTTGTGTAAACGGGACAGGACATTTGCGTAGAAGAGGCAGTGGGCTAGGCATGGCCTAGTCCAGTGCATGGAGTGGCCCCACCTGCCTTTCCAGGCCCATCTCACAGGTGTTCCACGTACATTTTCAGTGCCATCTTGTTGATGTGATGGCATTTTCATCCCATTCAGAATTCCAGCGTTCTGTACTCTCAAGACACTGAAATCTCCCATTCTCGTCCCCTCCCCCCTTTCTGAGGGTCACATGCTGGGGAACTGTCTTCATGCCTTGTCATTGTCTCTAAAGAGGCTCTCAGTTTTGTTGTTCCTGTTTTTGTCTTTTATGTATTTTTTTTTTTTTTCATGTCAGTTATTCTTCTGGGTGTACGTAACACTCATGTGCACACCACATTGTGAGTGTCTGGGTCACTTCTCTCCTCCCATTATGGGATCCAGGGATTGAGCTGGGTTGTGGTTTGCTTGGCAAGCCATCGCACTGAACTTCTTTTGTGTGTTTGAGACAGTGTCACTGTGTAGTTTTGGCAGTCTGGCCTCAGTCTGTAGGCCATTCTGGCCTGGACTTGTAGTGGTCTTCTGTTTCTGCATCCAAGTGCAGGGGTCACAAGTGTGTGCCATCATTCCTAGCCTCCCCTCTCTGTGTGATGGGAAGCCAGCTGATGACCAGGCTGCCAGTCCCGAGGGTCTGCGCAGAGGCAGGTCCTGAAAGATCTACAGAGCGTATACACACCTGCCTGCCCACCCACTGTGGCTGGTGCCTAACCATGCCATTC